ATCAAAATCCTAGGCAGCCCCATGTACTTACTGGTGGTTAGTAGGAAAAAACCTATATAACCTACTACAGAAGGATTTTGGAGGAGTTATATGCCTTATTATGTCTTCCGTACCAACCATCAGTGACTGTGAGCAACATTTACAGACTTTTTGGCCCAATGTAGGTATGATTTGTATACTTGGGATCCCTATATAGCCGCTTTATAAACCCCAGTTTCCATTTCATTTTCCATTTTCTTTTCCATTTGATTCTCCATTATTGGTAGTATTTGTATACTTAGATCCCTAAACCCTAAACCCTAATCCCTAAACTACTCGTGTCCTGGTCGATCTGAGTGGCATCGAGCATTCCTGATTGACTGGAGATGGCAGAGGGTTTAAGTTTAAGGTTGGGCCCGTAGGCTTTAACTTTAGGTTGGGGCCCAGGTAGACGGTGTAGGATACAAGATCTACAGTTGACCCGAAGAGCCCAATACCGGACCCGCGCTTTCGTGAACCCTCCGAGTCCAGGGTGCCAGGCAAGCGCCTCAAAATGCATCATGAACCTCAATCCCGAACCAACCTCCAAGCCCTCAAACTTTATCAGCCTTATTGTTAGGATCATTCTTTTCTGAAATGTGCATATGTATATATAGAGACTGGCTCTCTCCCTATAACACTCACAGAAGGGACCTGTGGTTTGAGTCTTGTTTGGCTGAACTTACAATATTTGGAGACTGTGCTATAGTGAGGGAAGCGGCAAGGGTGTGGGGTTTGAGGACAGCTGAATCACATCAATTCCTAAGGACAGTCCCAAAACCCTCAATCCCATGAAGGTGCGCCCCGGAGAAATACTCACCCTCACAAGTATGCGTTACTGTTGTCAATATTGTTCTCAAGGAAACCTCCAAATGGCTGGTTATCCGGCGGGCACCCTTGACGGAGGGCTATATAAACTTCACAAAGCCCGTTTGCTCTTGTACGAGCCTTAGCTTACTGGTTCTTAGTAAGGAGTAAGGGAATATAATCCCCGTATAATCTTTATACAACATAGTCCCATATTACCTACTAAGCTGCAGTAAGTTATATGAGCATTATATGGGGGCACGCACGTCGCAACTCCTCACAAGGGATGCCCTTCATGTCCAAAAGTCCACCATCTATATATCCTAAATCCCCACTATCGAGGGTAGGAGGAGGGTTCCGGTTATAGGGTTTGAGGAGAACTGAATGACATCGAAGGGTCCCCAGCTCCACTGGATGCCGTCCCCAGCCACAGGACCAATTGCAGGATCTTCAGCTTCAATTAGGGTTTAAGGTTCAGGGTTTAGGGCTCAGAGGTCTTCGGCTTTAGGGTTCTCACATTGAGTTGTCGGATTGGAGGATCGCTTCTTTGAAGGGTTCAGGGTTGAGCGTTGGGAGATGCTACTTGCCTGCTTTTGTCCAAGAAGCCTCAAAGGAGATTGTGTAGAGCCCTCCCTATACCCTATAACCTACACCCTATACCCTAAACCCTATATCCCGAACCGAATACCCTAAACCCAATACCCTGAACCCAATAGCCTAAAACCAAATCCCTCAAACCCTGTAGAGAGCCTAGGGTTGCTGAAGCTACCTACTGGTCTGTGACCCAGCCCCTGAAGCGCGAACGCGCGGCTTTGAGCCGCATGGCCATAGAGGCAAAGGAGATTAAGGTGCCCTCACCACTGTCAGCCCCAAACCACTGGAGGAAGGTTTAGGGTTTGTGGATTTAGGGATTTAGGGTTTAGGGTTCGCGGACTGATGTGCGCGCCTCAATTCCCAAACCTTCCTACTACTAAATATTCAGACCTACACCCTACAAGGCGGCTCCTAACACTGAAGGCTTGAGAGACACTCCCATCAAGTCCCCTCTGCAGCTCTAGCCCTGAACTAAAAGGAATCTCAAAAAGGCGGCTGCGATAACTGAAGGCTTGAGAGACACTCCGTGAAGTCCCCTCAGCAAACTCGACCCTGGACCTCAACCCAGAGCCCTGGGACGATCTAGAAAGCAGATCCCCCTCGGAGCTGTAATCCCCTTAGACCTATACTAAAAAATCCTTCGGGTTAAACGATAAAAGAATAAGAAAGCCTAAGGAGTCTACAAAGGGCTCCCTACAACGTGCCCACATGCTGGTCTAAGGTACCAAGCCAACAGCTCCAGAGATTTCCCCCAACAAGTCTAGGAAAGAGTAGACTGCTAGCATCCAAGACCCTCCTAGTAACCATAAATAGGGCAATAAGGTCCTTAACTGTAGGTACTCTGGGTATGTAGGAAATTGGCTTCAACCTTGACCTTCAGCAATGGCTCTTGGTGTTCTCCGCGGAGGACAACCTCGATCCTACAGCCTAAGCCCGTTGCGAGAAGCCCAACACATGCGATTGGTAGGGAATAAGGAATATATGATCCTTGAAAAAGCCCACATATATAACATGTTTCCTTATGCCCTACTAATCCCCAATAAGAAGAGGAGTTACCTCAATCAAGGGATACTGTCCCGGGGGCTGGGGACACCCGGGCTTCAACTCTTAGGTCCCTCAACTACGGTGAATCCCTGGGACTTCAGTCCCTAAACCCTACACCCTAAACGCTAAACCCCAAACCCGGTTTAGGGCGGCACAAACCCCAAAACCCTGAAAATCCTAAATTATGTAGGGCCCCAAATCGTCTTCCTGCGGCCTGAGCTCTCCAAATTGACACCAAACACTTAACCTTGTTCAGGGAGTTTTCAGGTGGGTGTTACTAGGTGGGCACCCCTACGTAAGGCTTAAAGGACTCACATAAAGGCTTATAGGAGGTTTTTTTGGGGACACTGGGACTATATACGGACTATGTAAGGCGTACATGGGGGAAACTACCAACCTGAAACTTCCTTAGAAGGATAAGTTAAATACGAGCTATATAGTCTAAACTCCTAGTATCCTCCTTAGAAGCCTCTAGAACACTCCCCTAGATAGTCCCCTATGTAACCCCCTTTGAGGAGTTTATACCCTAAACCCTAGATCCGAAACTTCCTTAGAACCTTGGGACCTCGGCCCCCTTCCTGGAGTAACTGGCTTCCTTTTGGTTTCGGGGTTGAAGTCTGGAAATGATGTTGTATGTTCTTCCATATACAGATCTAAGTCTGCAAAACAAAGTACAAGGCAAAACAACAAAATACATGTACAGCAACGGCCCAGGAAACTGCATACCCGTGAAAAGAAGTACACCTACCCACCTACTGCACGCAGCGACCGTTCCCAATGGTACATTGACATACGATGGATACTAACAATCCTGCAAGAACCTAACACCCTAACCTTGGGAAAAATGGTACTATATGCTCGTACCAACAATAGTTTCCCCTACGTTCCTATAAGTCTATAGGCTGAATTCGACTGTGAATCTCTTAGCCTTGAACACCCTGAACACCAGAGCTCGACCCTGAACCAGTCCTCAACCAGACCACACACGCCCCCTGCCCTCCCCCCCTCAACAACAAACAAACAAAAAACATAGGGCTCCCAATATCCCTAAATGAAGAAGGACAATTCCTTGTTTCATATTCCGATCCTAGTGCCATTTAAGGCATTGCGCTCTTTGCGCACCTTAAACCCTATGTGTCCGTATATCACCAGGGGTTTGCGCTTTTTTCTTTTCGACTCAGGTGAGCGTGGAGGCCAGCTGCAGCAGCATTGTAGGCTGTGCCTGCTTCCAATTGATTGCTTGTGATGTTTCCCCAGTAGCCCTAAATCCTAGCATAAAACCCCAAACCCCAAACTCTACTGAAATCCCCAGAAAACCTTACGTAGCCCTAAATGGCTTTTCGGGAGCCTTGGGATGCACAGGGATTGCAAGGGAATTCTGTTGGTCCCTCTCGGGGATTATTTCAGGCCTATTCTGACAGACTCCATGTGGGTCCTGGGGAAAAAACCAGGAGTTTACAAGAGGCAAAATAAGAGTTGGTAGGATTCAGGTGGAAGCTTCTAGTCCCCCTTAAGTAGATAGAATATGGGGTATATGGAGGTCTTATCATAGTATAGCCAAAGCCATATTCTATCTACTTAAGGGGGACTATACATACAGCAACTTACAGGGACTCATGTTTCCATGGAAGCCTGCAGGGGCTCAAGTAAAGGTTCAAGATTTCTGGGCTGAGGTGCAAGGTGTGGTTCGAGGACTCAAAGCCTAAACGCCCTAATTGATCTCGTAGTACACCCCCATTGACGGCCTAGCGCACCCAAACCACACCTAGGCCTCCTAGCAGACATCCTGGGAAAGCAGCCCTAAACCAGAAGCGCTGAACCCCAATCCCAAAATCCTCAAACCGTAAGCCGCCTTGAGTTTGAGGTATGGGGAGGCGGCAGACAGTACAAATCAACTCGGCGACTGCAAAGCTTTCAACCCCAAACCGTAAGTCCTAACGCAGTGTCCGAACGAAGTACAACAAGGTTAAGGAGTACATTCTGCTACAATGTGTTACCTTCCTAAACAATACAGTTAAGGTTTGGAGGTACATTATACTAAAGAGATATCCTTGTATCAAGCAGTAGGATCCTCCATTTGCAGTAGTTTTACCTCAAGAACCAAGATCTTTCATACGGACCTAGAGCACGAAGCATCCCTATAGCTCCTCCAATTATGTGTTTAGGGCTTGTTGTTTAGGGCTCAGGGTTTAAGGCTTACGGCCTAGGGTTTCGGGCTCAGGGCTTAGGGCTTACTCTAGCGATCCATGCATACACATACTACCTACATTGGGCGCCAAAGTCCGCAAATGTTACCTGCATTGGGCTATTTGGATCCCTAGGGTTTAGGGCTTGGGGTTCAGGGCTGATTAGTAGCCGACATGCCTAAGATGATCTCGCGAACCTGTACGCCTTGCAATCCCCCCAAAAAAGCCCAAATCTATCACAAGCACGTTCTCTATAGTAGCTTAGACTGTGGTTCAAGATGGTGAGAAGCACCACCTGTTTACCATAAGCGTTTAATCCCAGCTTGGTGTGGGCAACTGCGCTGTCGGGGCCTCCTCAACGACATCCGCGCCGACAACGATTGACTCAACGCCACTCTCATCCTTTCCAGGGTACCCGGAACCCTGTACAGTTGCTTTTAAAACATCTTGCCAGACCTTATAATACTAAATCCTTATAATTCCCAAGGTCTAATTAGGGAACCTAGGGCGTCCAAGGGATTGCGACAAGCCGACAAGCCAGAATGGAACAGGTATACTCATCTTCATATGTGAATACATACATATATATATATATATTTCACATACAACACCGCATTTGCGCTAGTGTTACAATCATGTCATGTTGCACGTCTCTAATTAATGAAAAGACCATCCTAAGTATGTTTCGGAGGTAGCTTATAAACGTTCGCTCTAAGATTTGAAGATGATTCGGTGTTGTGGCCATATCAGAATCCAGACCCTTCCCTATCCCCTTCATATCATTCCCTGAGCCCTCAGAACATTAGAGCCCTGGGATGATTATGACTGCAAAGGGGGAGGGGGCCCTAGTTTCCCAGACCCCCTAAAGAATCCAAAAAATGGACACCCCCCCAATATGAACCCATTGCTACATTGGGGAAACTAGCGGATTATTCGGGGGCTCCATTTTTTGGATCCTTTAGGGGGTCTGGCGTGCCACATCACGACTTTTTACTCGCACCTGCATGATACGACCCAATGCAGACCTAGGGCTCCGTTCAATGCACATTGAATTCTGCATACATTTACTGGGTTGCTGTTAAGGAACTTAAATTAAGTTACCATAATGGGAATATATGGTAAATAATAGGGTTTCCCCAATATAGTAATTAACTTAAATTACGTTCCTTAACAGCAACCCAGTTTAGCCTCCACGCAATGCGATACCATCCCCCAGCCTCACAACTGCGAGCCCATCGCAATCTATTCAACCTTTCCATGAAGCCACAGGCCTAACGGCCCAACTCATCACTCAAATTCTGAACCACGTCACTCAAAATCCTTGAGAAGATGACAAGCCTACATGGGAGCCTTTCAGTATGAAGAACCTGGTTGCTCTCTGAGAGTATGAGGATCTTCACCATAAGACAAGACGTTTCCCAAAAGAGACCTCTAGCGCTAACTTTACGGATCCACTACCCTTGGGCCTTGAAATGGGTCAGAGTAGGTCTTGTAGATAAACTTTAAGGCGTAAGGGCGCAGTGTCGTCATTATCTATAGGATTAGATCCCCCTGGTCTCTGCACATGGCGCACCTGCCCGCGGAGCATTCGAATGTAGCCATCCTCACCCCAGTCTTTGCCCCACGAATTCCTTGACACGGTTTAGGGCGGAGGGATGGGGTTTACGGTTTATAAGTTTAGCAATTTAGGGTTTCATATGGGGCCAAACGGCAAGAAACATTGTGGGTGCTTGCTTTGGGGTAGCAGGCTCTGGGCAATTCGCCCGGGCATCTAGCTCCATACTTAATGCCTGCTTTGGGCTCTAAAGCCTACAAACCGTACTCACTTCGGGCTGCTTGGAGCATATAGGGCTTGCACAGGTCAACAGCCTCGTTTCGCTGGCACTTGGGCCAATGTATCCCCCCAGGGCCACATCACTACATCTGAAAGCTTTAGACCACAAACCGGGAGCCCGAAACACCCTTATTCTTGCCTCATTCCCATCAAGATTGTCGTTTCCAGCGTGTTTGTTTTCGAAAAGAATACCTTTCAAGATGCTGCAAAACCCCAAACCACAGACCCAAACCCCAAACACGATTTGTCCACAGCTATTACTCACAAATAACCCATGCCTTGACAATCACGTCAGGGCTCTGCAATATCCAATACTTCCTGCCCTGGTCCGAGCCGTAGCCAACCAAGAGCACCTCTCATGGCAGCTTCCGCGGCAGGGGGGGGGGTTTAGGGATGCAGGGATTTTAGGGTTTAGGGGTTTAGAGTTTTAGGGTGTAGGGATGTACATTTTAGGGTTTGGGGTGTAGGGTTTGGGGTTTCAGGTTCAAGGCATTATGTAGCCATAGCAATTTGATTCAGCCCCCAAACAATGGTCACATTTCTTATGAGACGTGTAAGTGTAAATAGTGTGAACATACTCATGATAAGCCTACCCAATGTGTATAGTATACGCACCTGGAATCCTTTACCCTAGACGCTTAATCCTAAACATGTGAATGGTGTGTGTTTGGGGTGAGCAGAGTTAGGTTGTAGTTTCTCCAAACAGACAACTACAACCACAACGAGGGATTATTCTTAACCGATATTGGGGACTATTGTAATGGTTAACCCTGTTGAAGACACTACGCACATGGTATCCCGCAAAAATCCATAAGGAGGTCTGCTCTTTGGCAAGGGCCTCCCTTTAGCGAAAGACATGTATTCCCATGGTCCCTCCTTCAAAAGTACCTCTGGAACAACCCCTGTATGACATTCTCCACCCCCAGCCCTTCAACCCTAAGCCCTAAACCTTAATTAGCACTGAACCTTAAACTCTCAACCCTAAATCCTAAACCCTTGACATTAAACCCCAAATCCTAAGCTCTTAAACGAGTAAACCAAAACCGCCGCGGCACGGCATGGTCCACGGGCTCCCACTCGCTGCGCTGATGGGGAGCACTGGTGTAGATCCCGCGGGTGTAGTACATAATGTCACCTGCAGGTCTCCAAGGGGTCCCTTTCAAGGATTCATATAGCGGGAGATATCGGGATGCACTGGGACATATAAGGCTCTAAAGGATTTACATAAGCTTCGAAAAAATAGGGTCCTTGCTTTGAGGAAGCTATATCAACAATCGTTGACTTTTTGTTCGGGGATTGTGTGCTTTCAGGTTCCATTTTCTTTTCCTGTTGACTCTCTAGTATTGGGGGTGATATCCCCACGTATCCCTACATCCCCCAAACCCTTAATCGTAAACCCGAAGCCCTATATCCTGGGTAATGTTGAAAGATCGCCAGTGAGCCTAAGCGGCCCTTGGACCACAAACGCTCAACACACCCCTTGAAATTGAGCCATGAAATAGCAAATCTAGGAACCCTACTAATTATAGCACAATTATATATTGGGGGAAGTAGCTATGGTTCGGAGGGGCTTTATTAGGGGGAGAGCTTGGATCCTTGAACGCGACGGCTTACTCTTAGGAACCCTGGGAAACGTTTAACTATAGGCATTTATAGCTCTATGCCAATTACAATCTCTAATCAGTCAAAAGCTTGTTATTTGTGAGAGAATCCTGCCAGGTGAGTCCAAGTGACTCTGAGGCTCAAAGGACACGACTAAGGGCCCTCGCTCCACCAATTCCTGGCGCAAAGAGTTCAGAGTTTGCAGGGGCCCGCTTTGATGTAGATAGGCAGTAAACTCAAGCATTTTCAGGTGGTATGGGCATGCGAAGAATCATAAGCATAAAGCAGATAGAAGGGCGCAGGCTGTGTCTGCTTCAGGGAGAATTCCTCAGGAGAGCTTGAGGGTCTGTAGTTCCTGCTACCTCGAACCCTGAACATTCCGCATGCTGTGCCCCTCAAAACAGAAAAAAGCAGCTGCACCGTACCTGCTTCATCGCCTCCTCCGAAGCAGCGCCATAGTAGCCGCCCACCTGAATATACCATGTGGCTTGAGGATGTAAGGTGATATATAAGGGGTTGGTGGTACGCTTCGGGGTCCCAAATCCTGGTCCTTTTTTGGCTACCCAAACTATGAGCTGCCTTGCTGGGAATTGGTACCCCAAGCCCTCACCGAGGACTTCAAGTGTTTATTGGCATGTACGCCTCGCGGTGCTTAAACCCTAAACCCTAAACCCTGAACCCTAATACTATGTACTTTTTTTTGAGGTGGTGGTTTCTTGGGCAGAGCCGGGCCACACTTTCAAGGCTGCAGGTATTGCAGGATTCAGGGTAGAATTTCTCAGGACCCTCCTTGTACTCCTGAATAGGAGTAATGGTCCCTGATAGTGGGTGTTCAGGGTATTTAGAGGGTAGTTGGAGGTTCTGGGTAAAGAGGCTTCCAACAACGAGCCCTGGGCGTCGCAATTACCCTTCTACACTTGATACTATAACAACGCTAAAACCAAAACCGTAAATCTAAACCCTGAACCCTAGAGTTTGGGGTTCAGGGTCTAGGGGATGTACGGATTTTATCCCATTAATGGAGAATCATATGGAGAAGCAAACGGAACATGATATGGAAACAGTGATTGTATAGGGGTTTGTAGGGTATATACTAAGAATCCCGCACGATCCTTAGCACCCTAGACTTGGGAATTATGACAGTAAAGTGTACTAAGGCCATGCGGATTTTTCATATCAGCAGTAGGCTCCTACTTCGGATGCCCTGCCGATCCTCAGCCCTGTACTGTTTAGAGGATTCGTGAACTTGCCAACTGCAGACTTACAAAAGCATACCAGCCAAAACAAGCAGCATAGTGGTGGTTGGTCGCGCGCCAGGTCCTTGGGCTGACATCGCACTATGTGGAGGTTACCAGAAATGCGGGCCTTTCATACATACTCCAAATACCGTACTCCCTATTGAGGGAGGTCACCAAAAGAACACCTCACTTGTGGAAATCCGCCAAATTTGAGCTGAGGGTCGACTCAACCAGGTTTTGCAATCAGCACCACGCCACTGGGTACTGTTGGCTCTCTAACTACCTGAAATTGAAATACTTTAAGAGTCTTCAGGCTGCAGGTTTCCTTGCAATCTACCAGGCTGCAAGTACCATGTACCCGCAATTGGATACTTAAGCTATGGGACTCGGAACGTGGGGGTACCCGCAAAGACATTACCAGACTCATGAAGAGCATTCTACAGGAAGCTTCAGCTTCTGCACGTTCTATACGAAAAGCCTAAAACCCCTTAACAAACCTTTCAACCTTAAAAAGTAATTTCCTAGATGAGGGGACCGTAATATAACCACCCCAAAAAACTGAAATCTTTCTTGGGGACCCCCAATAAGGTACCCCTAATTTCAGGAAACCCCTAAAACGGGAACTCCAAGGCTCTTCTGCAGCGTGGCCACGTCACACTTCAGCTCGCAGCTACCGATCAGCTTCTCTGGGTCGTAGTGACCTTACCCAAGAAGCCCAAGTCTGGGGATATATGAAGGGTTACAGAGGGTTATACTGGGATATGCAAGGGCATAGCACCTATATGTACAGGAAGATGGGTAGGGATGTGTAAGAACAGGCAGGGTTTCTAGGATTCGCGACGGGGTGGCCTTTGAGGCTGCGTGCCCAATGTAGACCCAAACTGCGGGCTATACCTTAGGATCCCTAACATGATGTGAGGCGTAATTCCTGAATTTTCCTTACTTGTCAGGTATGCCTTGGATGAAACTATGAGAACTCCGAAACTTGAGACCACGGAATTTGAGACATTTCCCTACATACATAACGGTGTCGACTGAGGCCGTTATAGCCTGTCTTAGTTAAGGAATACATCACGGATCCTAACTACGAGTACCACATGGGCGTACTGGGCTCGCTGGGCCAGTGAGGCTTGGCTTCCAGAATTGAATTTTGGGGTTCACACACACACACACGTCACGCACTGCTTCGTACATGGATGCTTGGGGCCAGGCAGGGTTAGGGTCCAGAGCTCTGGGCTTCTTTTCCCACGGGTCCAAGTATCAATTATTTGGTGCAGACTTTGCACATGGGTACGTTGTCGTGCACGTTTGTGTAGCCCTGGGGACGTATTGGACAGCACTTATCCCTGAGGAGCAAAATACCCAAATTCGCCAAGTGGCTGCAGTTCTTCGGTACTAAGCCCACGTCCTTCCAATGGCGCAAGGCTTTTTGCAGGATGAAGAATTTAGCAGGTCAGCCCAATTGTAGGTTGGTTTGAGTTTCAGGATGAGAAGAGTCTGGGGTGCGAGGGCTTAGAGTTCATGGATTTGAGGACGAAGAATTCGACTTTTACGTCTGGCTTCCATGATTTACGTGATTGAGACCTGCATTTGAATGTTTTTTCCGCCAAAAAAGTCCATGGATCTGAAATTTAGGCCTTTTGGCTGCGGGAGTGGCATAGGAACCTGGCTTTGGGGAATGCCTTCCTGCAAACGCTGCAAATTCACTGGGATGCCGGCTCTGTATAAATATATATATATATATGTATACATGGGCTTGAATAATGCGCACTATTATCCTCACTTTTGGGGCTGTTCCCTCTGCACGTGCAGGGTGTCACATCACCCGTGGAGCCATGCTGCTTCTTCACGCTTGGTTTGCTTGCAGGTACGACTCAGAGGCTTTCACGCAAAAGCAGGGAAGGTAGGAACATCTTCGTCTGGAACCCTGATCTGCAACATCATGTTCTCTGATGTCCTGCGCCCATCTGGAAGCAAGGAAGGCATATCCGCCGTTGCAACCCTGATTGTACTCGGAGCAGAACAACCTCAGACAGCAACAGCAAGGCCGCCTAGGAAGAGCTGATGAGGGAGGCCCCACACGACCTAGTAAGACAGATAGGCTCTATCCTAAGCCAGCACGAAGACGTTATGCGTGCGGGGACCGAGTATTATAAGACACTGGCTCCATCCACAAGATAATGCCTGTACTGGCTATGGGGTTATCTCTTGGATTTGTACCCTACCCAGAGTAGGACAGGAATGAAGGCATCAACCTATTTCAACCAAGCCCAGTTGCGGAAAGTTGAAGGAGAAGCCTGAAAAGCTGGGATCCTGGTGATGGATGCGATATCTCCTCAGGTCTTCGGAGGTATGCTCTATACCCTACCTGTGACTCCATTTACCTACAGTTTAGTTTAGTAGTACTTACCCTTTAATCAGTAGGTAGAACAAACAAAACTGTAGGTAAATGGAGCCACAGGTAAACCCCGAACAGCGTATGGGACTCAGGCTTGAGGTTTCTTGCAGTCTCGGGTTTTGGGCGGGTTTCGGATGCTCAGGGCTTCCATTCAGGGGCGGTTCTGCGGTGTTTGCGAACTGTTTGCAGTTGAGGGCCTTTTCAAAAATACACCTGTGCAAGAACCCCAGCTTGGAGAAACATATGGAAGCTGCCAGCTCGGCTTGCTTAAATGTACTGCATCTCATGAAGATGGAGACACGCATGGGACCAACCCAGGCAGCAGTGGTATGGGCAGGTCATTCAGCCCATCCATGCGCAAACTCAACACGTGTGGGCATACAGCCCTTTTTGCGCATCGCCACGAGCATCTGGTGGTATTGAAGCAACTGCTCGTTCTCGTGTCGTGCATTCAGCAACTTGTGCTGACCCTTCAACCTCTCGATCTCCTCCAGCCTGGCTTCCACGTGATGCAGCTTCCCCTTGTCTTTCCAGTACAAAGCTTGCCTTCGCAAAGCAACAATTCTATGCGCTCTCAGTAGGCCAGCCTCATCAAGCCTCTTCCCAAATTGCTGATTTCCTGTCATCTGCCCGAGCCGTGCACGGACTTCAGCTGCGTTTTCGCTCCTTAAGCCAATAGCCAGCTCTGCCTGTTCAGCTTTGCAAAGCAACCCTGCCTGCAGCATTTCTTGCAGTCCACGCTTGCAACTGCCTGTGCCGTACATACTCAGCCGAAAACAGGGCCTGGTGCCTTCTTTGCAAATGCGTGGTACCACATTCAAGGCGCTTGCCCAGAACGCGCGGACGCTGTCTAGCATTGTGTCAAATTTCTGAAAAACATGTAGTCCAAGCGCTGTTGTCCCAGCCTTTTGCTGTATGTGGCCATCAGCATCGAAAAGCCCAGCGCAGTACTCCCAAGTGCATGCACGAGGTACAGCTGAGTCGTACTTCTTTAGCTTCTGCAGCTGTGCCTTAGCGCCCTCTCTGCAGGACTTGCCCTGTGGCCAAGCAGCCGCCAGCTGGAGCTGCTTTCTCTTGCCGCTGCTATAATTTGCCAACAGGTGAGCTCCGCGTCGTGCCATACTGCCACTTACTCTCCATGCCAGCACAGGCTTCTGCAAGCCCAGCCCATGCGACTCCACAAAGATGCTGCCGCCAAAGACTTCGCAAAACAACATGAGGATTGCAGGCTTGTCGAAGGATTGCGAGACATGCAAGTAAGGGCTAGACAAGTTAGCCTCGCAACCGACATGCCCATCACCATCAAAGAAGCCAGCCAAATACTGAAGCTTGCTTGCCTCCACCACAGACATCTCTACCAATTGCTTTCTGCCTGAATGTGGCAGCGTATAGACCGCCTCCTGTAGCTTGAAATCCTGTAGCCTGGGCCAGGGAGTAACTTTTAAAAGGAGACGGAGCTGCACGTTCTTTCGGTTAACTTCCTCAAGCGGATCCCGCTGGTAAGCGGCATATGTGGCTGCATCAGAAAGGGCTCTGGCAAAGTGCAACTGCCAAGCTTTGACACCTGGGCATCCGAACCAACTTGATCTCCCAGCACAGAGAAGCGGAAGTCGAATTGGACGCAACAGGCTCATCCACGAGACTTATACTCCCATTAAGGACGACGCGCTGAATTTTTCTCGCAAGCTCTAGGCCCTATACTTCAAAGAGCACCGCAAATCCATGTTCAAGATGTCTACAGAGGTAGGGGCATCTGGAGAACGGCCAAAGGGCCACGTCGCTTCGACACCAGCACAGCAAAGATCACGCTTGCACTTCAACAAAGATTCGCTGGTACGCGAGAGGCGGGAGAGGTCAGTTCAAGTCTAGTGTCCATTATCAGGAGAATGGGATGACAATGTCCCCCCGCTAGCTAAGCATGCGCTACATACGCGGTGCGGACAGGACAACATGAAGAACAGCTAATTTTACATGTGCTCTTGCTTCACCATGCTTTACCAATCTGGTTGGCAAATGCTCCATACTCGGTCACCTTCTCTCGATAAGGCGGCATGCAAAGTGAAAAGAGCAAGGCTCATAGGTCTTGCTGCCCCCCTTGTCCTTTGGACAGCCCTCTATGCTCGCAACAGAAATCTCACCAGCTGTTTCATCTACATATTGCTAGCAGGCGGACTCTTTGCAGTCGCGAGACGAAACAACATATACTTCTCAATTGCAAGAGGAACCTGGTCTAGCCTCGTCTTGAACATTCTGCCTTCTCCAGTCCCTAGCCCTGAACCCCGCATCTACCTGACCCCCAACCCCTAAATTGCCACTGGACCCGTAGAAAAGCCCACATCATCCCTGCAAAAGAGGTCTTTGAGCCGGGGCACGCAGCAAGCATGTGGGTGGTAGCCACAATGTAGCAGGAGCCGCAGCTGCCCTGGTCAATGACCTTTCCAAAGCGGGCTGTGCAAGGCGCGGTTTGCGGACATCTCGGGAAGTTGCTTTTCAGGGGGGACCTCATGCTACGAGGACATTGAGTGTTGTGCGGTGTGCCTGGCATGTATAGCCTGGGCTAGAAGTGGAACAGGGTGCAATCAACGTAGTAAATGAGGAAAGAGTTTGAAAAATACTGCATTCCAATGGCAGCAGTCTGGGGGACAGGAAAGCACTGGAGCAGGCAGGACTGTCAAAACCTACAACCCTTACAGTTCTGGCCAGAGCTGGACGTATCACCTAGCAACCTAGCCGTCCGAACTGAAACACTGTGGTTATAGCAAGGAACACAGGGGAGCGTGCGTTGGAGTTCATGAGTGTTGCCCTGAAGTTTTGAGCATACTAATGTATTTGACGTACGTCTTTGGTAGGGACGGGAGGGATGTGTCGATGTGCACTGAGACATTTGAGGGCTACATAAATCATCCTATGCAGACGCATGCTACTTCCAAATGTACATCGGTTTTGCACCTGGAAGCTCCTTGAATTGGATATGGCACACTGCGGCAGCAAGCCCTTGCAGCTACGGCACCCGTGCTGCAGCCAGACCTTCTTGCCAATCCTGCATTACGGCTTCAAAGAGCCTTGATCAGTAGCCCAGGACTGCTCATCCATTACTTGCACATGAGGAAAGATGGGCCCACACCTTTCCAGATCGTACAGTACATCCTCCATGGCTCTCAACAAATCCTCATCAGCAAATCCTACAGCTCCAACCCAGAATGAAAGTTGCCGCCGAAGAGCTTCATCAAGGTAGTTCACGCCGGACACATTCCGCCAGTCCCATGCAGAGGGCAGAGGCCGGCGCCCTGATTTATGATAGGGCAAGATTTTTGGGTGGATTTGCGGAATGTCTGGATTAGGTTTTTGGAATTAGCTGCTCCCTTTTCAACTTGAGGCTTGCCTGGCCAGCATGCTTGCCACGTCACCCAACATCTTTGACAAACCACACCCTTGGCCATAGTTATTATGCTGCATCAACCTGTTCATCAGCCTTGGTACCAGGCTTGCTTGGTGGGTTCCTGGCAGAAACTGTTGCCATCCCTTAGAGCGGATAGAAGCTTTTGTCAGAAGCGGTGAATAACAGATATATTGGGGTTCTATTGGGATAGTTAATGGAAAAGAAGATGGAAACTACTATAATATGATAGGGTGAACCCCAAGCTTCGAGTTTATAGCAGCGCAAAGGTACAGCAGCAAGTAGTCATAGATTCATCGTGGAACGATGCCCGGCGTCGAGGCTGCCGAATGTGTACCGAGACTGCTCCAAATGCAGAATCCCAACGTGCAACACAGGGTGCGCATGAGAAACATGCAGATCTTCTGCTGCTACAATATAGCTCCCCATCAGCGTCACCAAAATTATGCTTCTCCCCAGAAATGAAAAACGCCAACCAATTAACCAAGGAAGCGGTACAGGCTCAACAGCCCAACCCGCCTTTCACTGCCTTCGTCCGCGCACGCGCCTGCTGCAGGAAGGAAGGCACGTTCCTTCGCTGCTGCTTTGTTCGGCTGTGCTCTGTCTAGGGTGAAAGGTTCTGACTTAGGGTTTAGGGTTTAAAGGGTTTAGGGGAGAGATCGAGTGGCAATAAAAGCACTACCTGACGGACAGGTCTTAAGAAGACAAGTGGTGCTTTCGGGTTTAGGGCGCCCAGCTGAAGCCCAAGACCCGCATTGCAAAACTCTTGGTACAGAAGCGCACGCCTTTTGAGGAATTCTTCGAGCTTCCTTTAGTCCGTAGAATCTCAAGTATATCAGTATATATTTGATCCCAATATGAGCTACGGTCGAAACTCGGTAAACAAGCTAATGGACGCCAAGTTGGG